AGTTCTCATGTTTCAAAACAATTTGAAACATGAGAATTCTTTTGTAGCGATAGAATCATATTTTTAAATAAATAATTATATTTATGCTCTACTTTTGTATCGAGCACTGTTTTTTTTTTTTTAAATAATAACAAAATACTAAAGAACTTTGGATTATTTACCTAACGAGTTCTTTCCTATTTTCTATATATTTTTACACACACACACACACACACACACACACACACACACACACACACATATATATATATATATATATATATATATATATGGTGAGTGATAATGAAATAAGATATAAAAACAAACATTTGTCATCCCCAAAAAGATAAAAAATGAGGAATGTAGGAGAAAAGAAAACTAAAAATGAAAAATATAAAACAAAAGAAAAAAAAATGTAGACAAAGAAAGCACTATGAAGGAAAGAATGAAAGGAAAAAGAAAGAAAGAAATGGATAAGATAATAACATAGGAAGTAATTATTACACAGCCTCTACTTCGATTCGATCCGATTTCTTTATAGCCTCACCGTAAGGAGCAAAATGCTCAATAAAAACAAAGTATGAACTCTGTTATATGCATCGCGATAGGAATTAACCGCGCGGAGCTTTTTTTTTCCTCTCACCCTTCAACACCGTAATGGCTGTCATTACTCGGTTCTATTACAGTCTTCGAGTAAAAAGTCGACGAGCGAGGCGCCTCTGTAACGCAAGTCCTTGTCCTGGAGACGCCATACATGATGTACATAAATACCTTTTACCGAACGCGCGAAATAAAAATTACTATCCATTGACCGTTTACTGGCCCATGGCCTGCATGACAGCTATCACTATACTTACACAATTATGACGATGATGCTTTCCCGGTTTTCAGTAAGCGGTCCGCGTGAATCCGATAAGAATCGCCTCGCTTTTACGCCACGCTCACCTGAGTAAACGTTAAACACGCAAGAACGGGTCGCTTGATTTGGGAGTTTTGACCAGCGAAATGAAAACGAAGAAGAAAGAACACGAGAATAGACGGTGAGAAATATGGTATTGGAGATAAGAGTTCGAGTGTTGTTGGAGGTCGTGTGTTATTCTAGTTTCTCATTGCTTACGTTCACGCTGGTGGGTTATTCGGCCTTCAGCTGAGTTAAAAAAAAAAACCAAAGATGAAGAAACGAAGCGTGGCATTTTTTGATGAAATTTAGTATCCTTTATCACCACATCTTCTGGGTCAATACGCTTTTCATTATTAGTATTTTTTACTTACTGGTTTTACTTCACTGGGGTAGACTGTTCTAGTTCCACGTGCCATGTTTAATGGAGGTTAGTTATCAATTATCTCTAAGTTCTTAACCGGGTATTGAACTCACACTCTTTGGGTCCTGCCACTGGATCTAACCAACCCCTTTATCCATTGTACCATGTGTCATTGTGTAAGTTTTCCTTGCGAAGTGAAATAATGCGGAATTTTTGTTTTCATTTTTTAAAATTCTATGTTGTTTTATTTTCATTGGTCGTGTAGATATTATAATTTTATTATGACTTTTTATGCCAACACTCTGAATCGATATACCATTCATTATTACAATTATCTTATTATTGTTGCTTTTAATCCCATTGCTCTGGGTCTATACATTCTGGGTTGATACACTCTTCATCATACTTATTATAAAACCCAGGTTGTGTGTGTGTGTGTGTGTGTGTGTGTGTGTGTGTGTGTGTGTGTGTGTGTGTGTGTGTACGTTTATATATTGGATCGGATTTCCTAAATTTTTCAACCGATTTCAACAAAACTTCACAGGATTACGTAAAATTACCTTGCGGTGGTTCTGACAGCGACAACAATTGGAAAAACAATTGTTTTTGCACGAAATCAATTTGAAAACACGATTAAGAGGCATCGCTTTCGCTGAATGAAAGGGGGACAACTCATATCGAGTTATACTTATTATAAAACCCAGGTTGTTTGTGTGTGTGTGTGTGTTCGTTTATATATGGGATCGGATTTCCTACATTTTTCAACCGGTTTCAACAAAACTTCACTTTTTTTTTTGGCTGATAGTGTTCCTTATTGTCTTGCACACTTTTTTCTTTATTTTTACATTCAGAATGCTTTAAAAATTCCATTTAAAAGACAATTGTTTATAATAAAATTCTATTTGAAAACAATGTTTTTGTTTGAGTTTGGGTTTGACCAATTCGTAAAAAAAACAAAACAAAACAAAAAAAAAACAACTAATTAAGACATGCGTGTCCGTCAACCTTAAACAATAATCTTTGTTAATTTTATTTTTCAGTCTTTATGATGGTCGATACTTGATCTATCTCTTACTGTTACATCCCCGGGCAACGCTGGGCTCTACTGCTAGTTATTAATATTATTTTATGACTCTATCCTATTGCTGATTTATATTCCAACAATTAGGGTCGATACACTCTTCATTATTATTATTATTATTATTATTATTATTATTATTATTATTATTCCTTTGATTTCTGGTGTATACTCACTTCTTTCCGGGTCCCGACCAGAGTTCTAAGGTCAGAAATGGCATCATGACATTTTCCACTGAGCAATAAAAAAACAAAAAAAAACAACATATTTTACATGAATAAAGCCCTTCGTAAAGTGTGTATTGTACTCGTAAGAACAATTTTTTGTATTACTTTAAGGCATGGGTTACCAGGAATCCTTGAATGATTCTAATGAAATCATTTCCAATCAATCCGAGGGTACCAACTACAACAGTTGATATTCTCATGTGTCACCTTTTTGAGATTTCGATTTCAAGATCCTTCAATAGATTTTTGAAGATCCTCAAAGATACATTGCAATCTGCAGGGACTGCCATATCAATAAGGAGACACTTTTTTTTACGGTCTCTAGGCGGTTAGCTTTGATTTTTCTCTCTCTGTGTACTGTGTGTCACATAAAATAGTTACAGGCCCTATTTACCTAACCGGGTTTCGGTGGTGCTCATACCAATTTCTTGCAATTTCTTTCCGTAGAAGTTGCAGATTTTCCAGTGTAGATATTGGCCCACTCTGTCATGCCGTGTTTCATTATTATTATTAGTAGTAGATTAGTAGAAGGAAAAGAAGGAGAAGTAGTTAGTAGCAGTTTTTTGCACCATCTTATTATTGTTGATTTTTATCCTCAAATCTATACCACAATACAGTTTTCTTTACTTCTGTTGTATTTCTAGTTTTACTCCATCTTAATATTGTTGTTTTTTATTCAAACACACATGGTCATCATTATTACTATCGTTTTATTACTAGTTGTATTCAAATTATTGTTGCTGTTTTTTTTATCAGATATCCTTTGGTCGATACACACATTATTATTATTATTATTATTATTATTATTATTATTATTTTTTTTGATTTCTGGCGTTTACACATTTCTTTCCGGGTCCCGCCTAGAGACCTAAGGTTAGAAATGGCATCATGACACTTTCCACTGACAAAAAAAAAAAAAAAAAAAAATTAAATTACATAGATAAAGCAGCCCTTCGTAAGGTGTGGGCTGTACTTGTCAGAACAATTTTTTGTATCTCCTTGAGGCATGGACTTCCAGGAATCCCTTCAATTAGTCTACTTTTCCAACCAGTCCTAGGGCTCCAACTACAACATGGATTGTTGATGTTCTCATATGCCACATTTTCGAGATTTCTATTTCAAGGTCCTTGTACTTTGACAACTTTTTGAATATCTTCAAAGATACATTGCAGTCAGCAGGGACTGCCATATCTATAAGGAGGCATCGTTTTTGTTTGTGGTCTTTAATAACAATATCTGGGCGGTTGCCTTTGATTGTTCTGTCAGTGTGTATTGTGTAGTCCCATAGAATTGTAACAGGTCCTATCTCCGTAACCGGGTCTGGGTGGTGTTCATACCATTTTCTTTCAGTCTCCTTCCCGTAGAAGTTGCAGATTTTCCAGTGCAGATCATTATTATTATTATTATTATTATTATTATTATTATTATTATTATTATTATCTTCCTATTTTTCTCCCTGATATTTATCGGTAAAATAAATACAGCATAGAATTCTTTGGATGCGATTTGACATCAAGTTGCAAACACTTTTTTCTGACTACGCAACCTACATTAATGAACGTAGACTATTCGACCTCAAACTACAATAAAAACAACAAAAAAAAAGATACGATAATAAAAGAAAGGAAATATTTTAGCTGCGGTGATTGAGGACTTTCATTGTTTTTGTTGCTTTTATCACTCAGTTTTTCGTCGACCTTCATTTTAACCTGTCGTCACATGATATGGCGTAGCTGAATTTAGCAGCAGTAGGAGCATTTTGAGCACATTGTGTGTGACTGCTTTGTGTATCAGGGTGTAAGTGTGTTAATATTATTAATAGCAGTTTTGTTGGCGTGTGTGCGTTCCCCAGCGATTAGAATGTTACCGTTCCGAACATGAGAAACGTGTTCGAATCTCACGATGGTCGATGATTCAAGTATTTCATTTACAACTGATGTTGAGATACATTTGGAAAAATATAGGAATGTCTGTGGGAAAGGAGGCACAGTGGAGTAATGGATAGCGGCTCGGATTGAGGAATCGGAGAGCTGAGTTCGAATTTCAGTCGAATCCATTGCATTCACTTAATATTTTTTTCTAATCCCCCCCCCCGGCTATGAGTAAATATGGACAAATACCAGGTCAGACCGTGTGGCAACTGGTCTAACGCAGAAAGAAATGGCAACCTACTGCGGAAAAAAATCTGCTTCGTCAGTCATGTATCGAAAGATACACGATCACCTAAGCGTGTATCATGCATGGCACATAACTGACTGACAATGGGTAGACGAAACCTTTCAGAATTTCGAACCAAGAGGATTATTTTATTTTCTCTGCCGTATTTCATGTCTGTTAATACTAACCAGGCTTTTTTTTTTGCATAGATTGTTCGTTTCTTCCTACACGATTTTCAGCAGGGATTGAACTCGCAACATAATAAATTTTAAATATATGCGAATGTGAATGAGAATAATGAACCCCGGCCAAGAGGTGTACACCGTTTTCGACCGTGGAAACTACATTCTCGCAAGGATGTATGTGGCACTGTTTACATTTGTCATTCGGATTTTCCAGCGCATGCCAACTCTAGACGCAGCTGAATCGACCATGGCTGTACATATTTGCGCCAGCCATTGGATAAATAGTGGATATGCATTCGGAGGCGAGCTGGTTATCTCTCAGGTCAGTTCGCTGTCGTAGCAGGTTTCTTTGATGAACACTGGGGTGGGCGGGAGTTTTATTTATCATGATCTCAGGTGAGTCACATGTTACATACATATTTTCAATACATTGTGAAGATACCCTGCTTTTACAGACTGCTGAGTGTTCAGTAGAATGAAAGGTCTTTTCATAGTCAATAAATGTTAAGGAAAAGTGTGTTATATTATATTGTTTTACCACTCCGTTGATCTTTTCTTTGCAACCGTTTTATTGTTGAGTAACCATTAATAACATCTTCCTGTTCCCGAGGCTGCTTTTCAATTAGGTTGAAAAAAAATCCAGTTTACCTGAACAAGAAAGTGTTAAAACTAAGCAAAATTAAGAACAGAATTCTGAAATTAAATATTACGAAAATATTTATAAGAATTGATGACAAAATGTGAGTTATACGTCTTAAGCGTATATGTTAGGCTATGAGGACGTTAGTGGGCCTAGTATTTTTTTTAATCATTTCACCACAAGCAAGGCGGGAATTTACTACGCAGGGTTTTACAGATAGTGAAAGTGAGAGAAAAGACTAGGTACAAGTGAGAATGAAGAAAAGAATAAAAGATGAACGTGATTCAAGAAGACAAATGATGGAGATTATTGCTGCATTTAGATTTTTGTAGACTGTGCGTTTCAGGGAAGCAAGTAAATGGAAAAGAGTTCTACAAGCCGGAAGTTCGAGAAAATAAACTGATGGAATAGAAGTGGCAGTTATATTTACCTATTCCAACAGTAAAAATGGTGGGGCGTAGATGCCAATCTAGTAGCACGTTTAAATTCATGTAATCGGGGCACAAGGGAAGAAAAGCACGTCAGAGCAGTTTCCATGAAAATATTTATAGAAAAGACAAAGGGAAGCCGCATCACGTCTGTGAGAAAATGACTGAAATCGAGATGCCAAGTCAGGATCGATTACATTACATATCCTTCTTTGAATTTTGTCAAAAACCTCGCGATAAATAGTAGGACCAGATACGGCAACACTATTCAATGCACAGACGATGGACCCCGACGAGGAAAAAAAAAACTTTTGGCACGACAGAGTGACCCAACCTTCCTTACAGTAGATGCAGCTATCGATTCAATGTAGTTGTTCCACTTCAAGTCAGTTGAAAAAGTGAGGCCAAGAAGGCGCATTGTTGAGATCTCCTGGATGTGAAGTTTTTTTATGGTGGTTAAATCAGAGCAGTTTTCTTTTGGAGTCATCCAAATTATATAAGCCATTTCCTGCACCACTGATTGGAGATGCTTTTCAAGAGCAGTGGCCAATTTAACTTTGTCAGCTCTGGAGGATTTGCTATTGAGATAGGAGGAAATAAATACAATATAATAGCCGCGTTTATAAAGAAAGAAAGACAAATAAGCGCAAGTCTTCAACGGTAGCAGCAGTTGTAACAAAAGAGATTAAAAAAAAGCTTCAGTGGGTGTAAAAATAGTAGTTATAATCCATTTTTGGTCATAATCTGATTCTTGCAGTGATAAAATATCGCAAAATTAGTCAGGTACTTTTTGCCTTGTTACAAGGAATCAAACATTTTGCCAGAATTGTTTTAAAATTTTGACATCACCAACGCAAAATTCCGATTTAGGCTGTCGTTTTATTTATAATCTAAAATATGCTTCTTGGTATGATTTACCATCTTCCACCGGTTGACATTTTGTTCCAACCCAAATGTTTCTGGGCTATTTTTTCACGCTAAATCTGAAAATCAAATCCATTTTGCCCCATCACATCACGTTTTCTAAGTACAGATAATTTCTATTTTGCTTAAAATAGGCCAAAATGGCAAATTCACAGGGATATGCCACGGCTTAGATATGAGTGTGACATAGTTCAAACATTTCGTTTCATGTTAAAATGATTTATCATTCAAGGAAAAATTTCCAAATAACTTTTAAAATAAATTCTAAGCTATTTCAGTTCACATAAGCTGACCTGAAAATGCTTCGTTTTGTGACAGATATCGCACTGAAAAATGTTCTTGTTCCTTTCAATGTTCTTAGCTTGTTAAAACTTTGTGATTTGTGTTTCTTCTCTACTTTTCATAGAAGAAGCTCTTTAGAAATCATCCAAGAACAGCGATTTTAGTTTTTATTTGTATTTTTCACGTCGTTCTGTTATTTTCATGCAGTCTCTGTATAACATGCATAGGAACATCGATAAATGAGGTTGTTAGGGTATTAGGCGAGTGTATTTGAGACTAGCAAGATTAGAATTTTCTTTATTAGCGCTTAAAAATAGCCACCAAACACCAGATAGCCATAGCCAATTAAGGCAGATGGGATGTTAACATGATGGCTGATTTCTGCTGGAACATCAAAAGGGATCAACCTTCTCAAAAGCATTGTAGAGTTTCCAAGAAGAGTAGATTTATACCTTTGGATGGACAAAAATGAATGTATTTTTTATTCCTTTCTATATTCTTTGTCTGTTTTGATACAAAAATTGATGACACATGTTTGCCTTCATTTAATTTTGTGTGAGATTTTTCTGAAAACTTTTTCTGAACTAAAAATGCTGAAAATGCATTCTTCAAGTTATTGGGATACTTTTTATTTTATGATAAGTTATTCTAACTTGGAAACCTTTAATGTTGGTTCTACTTAGCCTTGGCATATCACTGTTAAATGGATATTTTGGCCGATTTTAAGAAAAATAGAAATTATCAGTACTGATAAAACGTGATTAATGGGGGGAAAAATTGACTTGAGTTTCAGATTCAGCGTGAAAAAATAGCCCAGAAACGTGTGCCTAAACATTTTTGGGGGCTATTTTTTCACGCTAAATCTGAAAAGCTAGTCCATTCTACCCCGTCACGTCAAGTTTTCTAAGTACAGATAATTTCTTTTTTTTAAAAAAAATAGCCCAGAAATATGATATTTTTTCGAGACCAACAACATTCGGCTCGAAAAAATATAAACCGATGTTTCTTTTGGCAAACTTTGACCTTTATGCTCGCAGAAAGACTGAGAGTCAAAATAACGGTTTTTCCCATGACACCGCTATTATTTTCATCATCTTCTCATCTCGGCAATATTCAATGTTTTAAAAAGCTATAATTAGAATGGTAATGAAGGCTAAACATATGATGAAAGTGAGTTTATACATTTTTTGTCCTTAAGAATTTACAACGAGTAAATAGTAAACACTATTTATTAGAATGTTTATTTACACGGATAATTTTATATTTACAAAATTCTCAAAACTAACACAACTGTATTTCAAAACTAATGTAATATTTATCGTATACAAATTTATGAAGAAATAAATATAAAAACAATTTTTATTCATAAATTTATTAATATTTACTGAATTATAAAAATATGTGAATTAATTATAAGTAAATCCTTATTATTTACTATTTTATAAAATTTGAATTGATTGACAATTAGCCGATGTTTTGCCAACCATTCCAATAAACAATCTAATAAATAAGTAGTGTTTAATATTTTTGTTTTCCCAACAACAAATAATATATATATATATATATATATATATATATATATATATATATATATATATATATATATATATATTAGAAATGGACAAGGTCCGACAATTTATTTATTAAAGACATTTTTTATAAAATAACAACGTTAAACATAAAAAATGTCTTTAATAAATAAATTGTCGGACCTTGTCCATTTCTTAATATATGACATTTGTTTACATTCGATACGCCAGAGCAGTTATGAATGTGCGAGATTCATGGAAAATTGGAGTTTATAAGCAGTAAATTCGACCTTGTCTACCGAACGCTTCTTTGTAGCCTAGCGGTAAGGCACGTCAGCGTATATGACGGTTCCGTATAGGATGCAGGTTCGAATCCTGTCAAAGAACGAATATTTTCTATGACATTCAGGCCGGTAAATGTTATTTAATACTGTTTATCATAAACAGAGCATTTGCTTAAATACTTGTATCTATAAAATAACAACGTTAAACATAAAAAAAAAAAAATGTCTTTAATAAATATATATGATATATATATATATATATATATATATATATATATATATATCAGTGTAACCCGGATACAAGAGAGTTGTCAGGACCGGAGAATAAGTCTCTTATATCCGGCTTTCTCTTATATCCGGGTTTGGTCTATTTTATATACATTAACACAGGCTCTAATTTGGGACCAGAGAAAATCTCTTTTATATCCGGGTTTCTCTTATATCCGGGTCTCTTATATCCGGGTTACACTATATATATATATATATATATATATATATATATTCAACAATAAAAAAATATTAAAAAATTAAAATCTTCAGACACATTGGGTTGTAGATTAATATTCTTTCGTTTTTTTTATTATTATTATTATTATTTCATTTATATTCCTCGACGAGTTTATTTTTTGCTTGCTGGTAGCAGTAAACTACATAAATGATATATATATATATATATATATATATATATATATATATATATATATATATATATTCATGAATTATTCATACAAAAACAAATACAAAAGTTAATGATTTAATTGGCGAGAAATCCATCGTCGCGAACAATTCAAATAATATACAAAAATCCCGAACCTGTTTATGAATGAAAAGATCCTTGTTTCTATAAATTGCTGTTGCATGAGTTCTTATTATTTTTACAAGCTTTCGTCTGTTCATACAGACATCCTCAGGTATGGAATAGATTTTGTTCCTGTTTTTTTCTCTCAGTAATAATATATATATAAATTCACTTTATTAAATTCTAAACTCCGCTATTTAAAATAATAAACATTGCCGAGGAGTGACGGTAGCGAAAATAATAGCGGGACTAAAGGAAAAAAAGAAAATTCTGTTTTGAAACTGTTTACAGGAACGAAGGCCCAAGATTGTCTAACATTTTTTTCGGCAACTTAAAGGAGAGGATTATTTCCCAAACACACAAATGAATCTCCTTCTCTTTCTGACTGCTCATGTCTGAAATCAAATTTAAGACCTCTAAGCAGTATAAACAAATCTCTGTATTGATTGTACAGTGAATAGTTTCCTCCTAAATTCTCCGATATTGTCCTCGAAGAATATCTGCTGAGCGTATTTAAAATTCAATTAATTACGACCATTTTACTCCATAATTCGAGGTTTACAACAGAAATTTATTCACTCGCTCCATTTATCTTCAGACCGTCTCTAAATATATTTTATCATTTTGTCTGCACGCGTGAAGATACCTCGTTATTCAATGGAAATCGATTCAACGTCCGATTATTGATTAGTCCATTGTAACATACACAAACGGTGCGCGTCTATTTGTGTTTATCGAATTGGCTTCGGATCACACGGCAGAAAATTGCTTTTTTGTTATCAATACTTCAGTTATTCTATTCCTTGTAGATTTATGAAGATCGATATATATCAGCGATCGATTATCGATATAAATATTATTTTTTCATTATCATTAATTAAAATCGTATTTGAACAATCACAGGAAATTTTCTTTAATAAACAAACGTGTGCAAAAAGTTACAAATGGTCTCTTTTATAAAACTAGAAGCTGTGTGTATAGTTAAAAAACAAAATGGAAATTTGGGTGCACATCTCAGAGACTATGTAAAAGACAAACGAAAACATTGAAGGCGTTCTCCATTTCCCAAACAATGCAATTCTATGGATCATTTGACTCCATGTAGGGAAACAAGATGGCTGGATATGGGACCTGATATACTGTTGTGAAGAATTCACTT